GTCACATTCCTTGGAAGCAGCTCGCCGCTTTCTGGTCTTGCTTTTGCAAGCAGGTCTGGAGAAGCGCGTCCTCTAAGGCTGGCGGCTGGCCCCACTCCTGAAGGAAGGCCTTCCTGAGTGTTCTGCCCGTTGTCCCATGAGTTATCAGTTCCCGGGAATGGCCGGTGGGGACTCTTCTTGGCCCTGCGTGAGGGTCCCGCGCTGTTGCTAACCGCTTTGGGTGGGTCTCGCTGCCCTTGGTAGTGTCCTCACACGCATGCACTGATCAGTTCTCTGCTGGACGCTCAGCTCTCAGGCGGGCTCCAGAATGGGATGACGTCATAGATAACCCGTCTTCTCCTCAGTATGAGGATGGGAGTGCCTCCTTGTCGGCTGTAGACATTCCAAGGGAAGTAGAAGCTCCCATCTGATCATTTTTAATCCAACGAAAGCCCTGTGTTCTTTATGTTCTGTGAACATTGACTAGTTCATTAATCGACATTTGATTTATCGGCACCTCGGTCTGGAGTCCTGCCTAGATATCCCCTGCCCTCCCCACTCATGGTGCTCGTTACCGTGTGTTCTGACTGCCCATTCGCTTCTCCTTCCCTCACTGGACTGAGTTCCATGGGACAGGGCCCCTTTCTGCCCGCTGGGCGTTTCCCAAGACCTGCCTCTGCTCGGAACGCGGGAGGCACTGAGTACTGAATGAAAAGCCGGATGTGCGATGAGTTTCCTCAAGTTGTCTTCCACTGTCTCAGCGTCATCTGGTTTGGGGTCATCATCAGAGCACAGTGTGCTGACGATGTGGGCCGCGCCTCTGTCCCACAGCAGAGCATCACACGTGCCACCCGAGGCATGAGCTGGTCACGAGGCCTTTGGTCTGAATTCTCCTCTTCCCCTGGCTCAGGGCATCGGGGTTCGTGCCTCTCAGCCCTTGCTTTGCATGTCCCCCTTAGGGCCACCAGCTTTTGCCGAGGCCTCCTGGGAGGGGGCCGAGGCCCTTCGTTCCTGTCGCACTTGCCAGAGCCGGATTCCCCCCTCTCGTCACCGTCCAGCACCTCCTTATCGGGTGTGGCTTTGATGTCCCTTCTAATGTGGCTACATTGACAAGGCCAGTTTCTGTCACTGTCCTCATTTCACTGCAGTGCCACTCCCGCTGCTGGCTCAGAATTTATCGATATTTTGTAATTCAAAATATCCAACTTTTCACATTGTATTTTTCTGAATTCTTTAGTATCGAGTTCTCCTTCTTGGTTAGTATTTTTTAAAATATTTTTTAATGTTACAGTTTTAACATGTATTGATTGGAAATGTTAGAATCCAGGCTGGATTTCTGCTTCGTGAGTGTTTTTTCCCCTTAGTTTTCTTTGTTTTTCTAACTCTGCGCAGTATTTAGTGAGTGTGTTTGTCCTAGCTCTTTGGTGTCTGATCAAGCTGGAGCCAAATTAAGACTTTCTCTCGTTGTGGTTTACGTTTCCTACGATTTCTGATGCGTCGACCCTTCGCGCTTCCCCTTGCGTCACAGCCATTGTTCTCGTTAAGTCTGCGTAGGTGCCTTTCTGCCCCTAGGCCCCCGAGACGCCTTCCTCCAGCCCAGCCTCCTGCGCCTGGCTGCTGCCTTTAGTTCTCCGATGTCCCCTCAGGGAGCGCGTCCATCAGGAAGCCTCGCTGGACACCCCTACCGCGTCCTCCCACTCCCGAAGCTCAGTTTATGCCCCTTTCCTCTGAAAAGATACAGAGCCACTGTAACGAGCACGTGTGTCCGTTGCCTGCTTAAAAGCTTGAACATTTCTTGGTCCATGTAAAGCCCCTCGTTAGCCTTTCCCAAGGGTGTTCTCCGCGCCGCCCCTTTCTGTCCCAAAGGCAGGGTTCATCATCCCATTTAATGTGTTCCCTTAAACTTTATATGAACGGTATCGTATCACATTTATCTTTCTGCAGCTTTCTCTTTTCATTCAACATTATGTTTTGGAGATTTATCCATGTTGACGAAGTAGCTGTGGTTCGTTTCTCTTCATTACTGGATGAGTATTTCATTGTAAACGGACCAGACATTTTCCAGTTTGTCACTCTTAGAAACAATGCCGAGCGTGTGTGAGGGTCCCTCTTGCATTGCCTGGCACAGGGCGTGCTGGTGCTCAGCTTGCCTTGGGTTACCAGGTACCTCCAGGTGGTGGATCAGCTCACGCTGCCTGCTGCCCGCAGCATGGGGGAAGGAGCGGGGTGCTCTCCGCTCTGTGGACCCCCAGCTCTTGATATCTCCAGACTTCTTACTTTTTGCCAGTTAGATGAGCGTCAGTTAGTATCTTATTGTGGTTTAATTTGCATTTCTTTAATTACTCAAGAGGGTACGTATATTTGCATCTTTATCGGTTATGCAGGTCTTTTCAAAGACTCGCCTATCTCCTTTGCCCATTTTCATCTTAGTGGTTTGTCTTTCTTATTCATTTGCAAAAGTTTTTTTTACATATTATGGATACTAGTCTTCTGTTCACTTAAATATCTTCTCCCAGCCTATGTTTGATTTGGGTTTTTTTTCCATGTTGTATTCTATGTCTTTGAATTACAAATGTTTTCTATTTTAATATCATAAAATTTGTAGTCTTTATGGTTTGTGCTTTTTCGTGTCTTGTTCAAGGAGTGTTTCCTCACACGGAGATCATAAAGAGACTCGAGTTCTCCTTTTCACGGTGTAGAGTTTCGCTTTCTACGTTGGGTCTATTATCCCTCGAGTTTGCTGTTGTACAGAGATCTGGTTAGCTGCCCATCTGGATGACTGATTGTTGTAACTATTGTGACTGTAAGTTATTAGGATAACTTACCGTAATCTGTAGTTCCTCGCTCATCTACGAGCTTTGATAAACGCACGGGTCTGTTTCCGGGCTCCGAAGCCCGTGCCCGTGGCTTATCTGTCCTCTCACGTGATCCGAATGGGCGAGTTTCGTCTCAGACGCGCGTGTGCACAGCGCCCCCGCGGAGCCTCTCGCATCGCTCGTCCCTTGCTCCCGCGATCGCTTCCTCCTCCTGCAGGCTCCTCGAACAGCATTTCGTCCCAGAAATGAGTAGTCGACGTGTGACAGGCAGTCACTAAGTGTTCCTGGAGGCACGAAGAGCACGGGGACGTCCACCTCAGTCGCCCGTTAGCTCTAGCTCAGGTATCACCTGGGGGCGAGTTGGGGAATAACTGACGTCGCCGGTTCTCGCAGCGTGCACCCGCCTGGTACAGCGCAGGCCTCCGGCGTTCTGCACGTTGCGTAGCTGGGACTCGTTCGGGGCCGTGTGCGTGAGGCGTGACCTGGCAGCCTGAGCTCTGCGGGCCAGCCCAGCTCGGTCCCCATCTCTCATCTTCCTCAGCACCCCAGCAGGTCTCGGGGTAGCTCTGGATTCTTGAGGTGGGGACGATCTTGACTCTTCACAGAGCCTGCAGACACGTAGGGAGGTAGGGAGACGGGTCTTGGCCGTCGCCCTCGGCAGCATCTCCTTGCACTGGGTGGGATTGTCGCCAGCCACCCTCGGACTGGTCGCCGTGGCCAGAAACGGGCTCTGGCACCAGCTTAAAGGTGGGGCCCTTAGTGAAAACCTGGGGGCCAGTTTCTGAAGGAAAAGAAAAAACTGCTGCATAGCCCAAAACAACCAGCATCCTCCACAGGTGGCAGGACTGTGGCTTCGTTCCTGCTGCCCGTAGACGTGAGGGTTTCCAGGGTTAAACCACTCTGTGAGATTAGTTCAATTCCACCGATGTCCTTCGAATGCCGCTCTCTAATCTTTGGTTTTCAGCAGTCTGATCGCGATGTTTCTGGGCCTGGTTGTCTTCTAATTTCTCTTCTTTAGGGTTCTTAAGTCTGAAAAAATGTCTGTCTTCCACTAAATCTGGGAAATTCTGAGGCTTTGTTAATCTTTTTCTGTGCAGAGAGCGTTTTTCTCCTTCAGGGGCTAAAATAGCACAGGCATGTTTTCCTATCGGTAGAATCCCACGGACCCCTGCGGCTCTGCTCATTTTTCTCCCTGATATTTTTCTTCTCTCCTTTACATGAGATGGTTTCTGTTGCTCTGTCTTCAAGTTCACGAACTCTTTTTTCCGTCATCTCTAGTCTATGGTGAGCTTGCCATTTGAATATTTGGTATTATTAAAAAGTGTCCCGTGATTCTAACATACAGAAAACTTAAGAGCCGCTCGTCTGTACCTCCAGGCCTCAGTGTGAGGGTGGCCGCGCCTGCCTCTCCTCCCCCCGGGCCACCGGGGCGCTGATGCGTGCCGTCACTGTGCACCGTGGTCCCCACGGCTGAGCGGGTCTAGTCAGGGAGTCCAGACCCATGTAAGCCCAGAAGTGCCACCACCAGATACGTGGCGTCGTGGTTCAGATGCTGCCGTAACAGAAATTCTCATGATTCGATTGGCAGAAACAGGCTGCAGGCCAGCCAGCCAGCCGTCCGGTGCATGGCGGTGTGTCACTGTCGCCCCGAGTTGTAAAGGTATGAAGGTGCTTGAGAGACGGTGCCCGTGATTTCCAGGGCTCACAGACACATTTGCCACCACCCGGAGGGCAGGCTGCAGGCGCAGAGGCCAAGGCTGGGACCAAGTCCCAAGAGCCATGGGGAGGGCGATCAGAACAGAGGGGCCAGAGCTCCCGTCTTCACATGCGATTTTAAGGGAAAATGCAATATACGGATTTCACAGACATCTATGTTTAGCATAGGAATATATATAGGAATTTTTAAGTTAATTAAATTTATAAGTTAGGCTTCTAGCCAAAGAATTAATGTGTATGATTATGATAAGGGTCGCAGGCTGGAGTCAGAATCGTTCTCATATCCGCTGATTATACTTCATGGCACGCCCAAAATTATGTTTCCGTGTTTGTTGTATTAATTATTAATATTCTTATGCATAATACATTGGCATTAGCTATTTTGTTAATGTTTAATAAAATGTGACACATTTTAAATACCCTTAAATGTACAAATTAATTTAAGAGTAGATATTCCAGCTAAAGCTATTCTCCTTTTATTATTGACAGAATATCCAAGGTATCTCCAAGCACCCAATTCAGATCACTAAACCTCAAAATTTTAAAGGTAACACATTTCTTTCTATTTTGCTAAAGTCTTGGGTAACATTTTTTAAAAACCCACAAGTGTTTTTTTGAGATTGCTTTTCTACGCCACTAACTGCTTTGCTTTCCTGAAGTTCTCCTCTGTGTTTGCATGAGCAAGATTGAAATGCACACCGAAAAGTAAAATGCAGCTCAGGCAATGAGGCACCTCCCTTTAGCAGCTTACAGACTAAGACAGAGGACGGTCCCTCCTAACATCCCCCTCGCCAACCTCCCGTAAAGAAGCAACAGCAGGACGGGCTGTATCGAAGTCCGAAAACCCCTGGGAGGGTCTGTGAAAGCGCCCGGCCCTCTCGTCTCCCTAAGCCACGGCGCCCGTCACACTGATGGCTGCATTTCTGAAAAAGAAAAACGATGAGGCCGAGCCCAGTACGTTCCCCACAAACTCCCACCCCCCTTGCTTTGGGAGCGGCCTCTGAAGGTCCCAGGGCAGCGAGGCCTGAGGAGCAGCCCTTTTAAATACACACAGTCTGGCTTAACCGAGCCCCTGGAAGGCGACCATAAGCAGCCTGGTCTCTGACTGCCCTTTACAGCACCCTAGGGGTGGGGCCCTTAGCACCCTGCTGCCTAACCTCACTGTTCTGCAGCACCTCCAGGCCAGGTGGCTCTGACCAGAAGACACTCTAGCGGCAGCATCCGGCTCTCTCTTCATTGGAATTCTAGATAGAGCAGAAAGTTTTATAACCGAAAATCGATTTGCTCTCGGTAGTAATACGATATTTTTAAATTATGTTAATGAAGATGTTCAAAGAAACCCCAAATCTAGACGCCTTTGACTTTAGAATGATGTTAACATAACTTTAAATGAGGAATAGCTGCGATCATGGCCAAATTCACCAAGCGCCCTTGCAATAACGGTTCAGGGAAGGAGCGTGAAGTCCTCACCGTCTCCCCGAGGACCATGTTCGTCTCCTCCGAAGGCCACAGCTTCCTAGCAGCAGGTGCGTGCAAGCTGGGGTAGGGGGCGCCACGTCACTGCAGCTCGCTGTAGGCGTCCCAGGCACTTAAAATAGTTAGGAGTCACATAGTTCAAAGGCGCTCATAAAACTCATCTTTAACACGAACCCTGAGGAAACCGTTTGTGTGAAGCAAAGCTTGCTTGAGCGCAGTAAACGAGGACAGGTCTGCCTCCACACCTAGATCCCAGTACCCCCGCGTGGTCCCACGCGGTCCCCTCCTTTCTCCTGTCTGTCCTCGTCACCCCTGGCTCTCTCTGGCCACCCTGGTATCCTCCAGCAGCCCAGCTCAGGCCCTGCATGAAACCCTCGTCCCCAGACGCCATCTTGCTCCCTCCTTCGCTTCTTTTGTGCCTTTACTCAAATGTCACTCTCTTCAGGAGGTGCTCGCTGATCACCCCACTTATAACAGCACCGCCCTCCCCTCAGCCCCTCCTGAGCCGCCTCCTCTCTCTCTCCCAGTTCATTTCCTATCTGCTGACACAGCCTCAAATTATTCCCCTCCCAGAGTTCACAAGGAAAGGGGCCGAGGTCTGTTCTGTTTGCCAACACATCCCAGGCACACGGCCCGGCACACAGTAGGCCCTTTCTAAAATCCCCACGTGCAGAGTGAACGGGTGCACGTGCGCAGCCCACCGCTGCGGCACAGCCAGCCCCACGGAAGGACGAACAGGGCCCCCTGGCCTGGCAGACGCCGGGATGGCCAGCGGCCCTGCGGCCCGAGGGCCCTGGCAGATGGGAGGGATGCTGACCTGCCGCCCCCTGGGGAGGGAGGTCCGAGGGTGGGCTGGAGCATGGGCTGGAGCCACAGTGAGGGACGTTGTCGGCGGATCCTGGACTGATGCAGGACTCCGTCTAACAGACTTTTCACAGATTGAGTTGCGGATTCTTGCGCACTTATCTGGGGACCCAGAACTTCTGAAGCTGTTCCAGGAATCTGAGAGAGACGTGTTTTCCACCCTGACTTCGCAGTGGTAAGATACACGAGCTCGCGACACTATCAGATCCGCAGGAATGTCTGCCCGGGTTTGAAAGGCTCAAGTTATTTCGAGGCTGTTTTCATGAGAAAGGATTCCATTTTTCTCGAGTGGTTAATCTTTTTGAGAAGAAGAGCAGATAACTAGGGTGCCAAGAGCTTCCTCACTATGAAAACCGACAGCTCTTCACCGCTAGAAAGAAGCCGATCGCTAAAGAATGTAATAGAAATATTGGAGAAATGAAAAGCGCAAGTCACGCGTGGCCTCCAGATGAGTGCCAGTGTAGGGGACACAGCCCGGGGAGCGGCACAGCGGAGAGTGGATGTTTATGCTGCTGCCCCACCCCGCCAAGCGACAGGCAGTCGCTGGCGTAAGAGAGCGCCACAGGCAGCCGGCCGCAGGTTCTGTCGGGCAGCTCCACGGTGTCATCCAGGGCCTGTGTCCCTGTTCGTGTAGCACGTTGGCATGTCTTCTTCGTGGCTGTGGGATACCTGCTGGCCGTCTCCAAAGCAGGAGGGAGAGGGGGGTGCGGGCTCCCCGCCCACGCCCTGCCCAGGCCACGGTCACGCCCGCTTTCCAGAGCCCAGCGGCCTAGCTGCAGGGGGCCTGCCACAGGGGCCGCTCTGGAACCGGAGGCACAGTCGCCCTTCCTCACCAGGGCAAGCACCTCAGATTCTGCTTCGAGAAGGGGGAGGGGCCAGGGTGGGCCGGCCTCCCTCGCTCCCCCGTCGGCCTCTCCGCGCCTTCCCCCAGCCCCTCCCATCCTCATCTGTCACCCTCAGGAGTTACCCTGGAAGCAGATGGCGCCCCCTGGGGCTGTCCCTCTGTGTTCTGAGCCTCTGCACTCTCCCCCACCCCACCCCCGTACACTCACGTCTCTGTCGTCGGCACTGTCTTCTCAGAAGGCGTGCGAGCCCACCAGAGCGGCCCGTCCCCTCGTCCACTGCATTGCTGGCCACTCTGCGCCTCACCGCCCCCCGCCGCGCCCCAGCACTCCGTTGCTGGCGGTCCAGGCACGCGCCGAGGGCTTGGGAAGCGCTCTCCCCACGCGTGCACGTGGCTCAGCTCACCTTGTCCGCTGGGCCCTGGCCTGACCGCCCTGCCCTCCCTCCCCTCCCTTCACAGCGCTGCCCTCGCCACTGTCACGTGTGTTCCCCTCCGCCCCCGCGGGGACGTCCGCTCCGCTCTGCGGGGCCAGACCGTCTTCTCTCATCCCTGCCGTGCTCCACCGGGCGTGGAAGGCTCGGCGAGGCTGGCTCTGCCAGGCTGGCTCCGCCAGGGTCTGTGCCAGGGTCTGTGCAGCAAACGAGTGAATAGCCTGAGTTCACACTTTCCTGCTTCTGAGCCTTAGCCTGAGTCCCAGCCACCTGCCCCGAGTCAGGGGTCTCTGGTCGTCCCCTCCCGTCCTCTGCCCTGCGCTCGGTGCCTGGCCCTCCCCACACACTGGCCCTGCCATCCCACCGCCCTTGAACCTGATCTCCACCCTGACCCACTCGGCCCTCCGCCCCATCGCACCTGGGGCTCGCTGAGGTGTGGCCTGGACCCCTCTGTCTGACCCTGAACTCTGAGCTTGGCCTGCACTGGCCTCGCGCCCACCCCGCGAGTCCCCCCGTGCCATGCCCGCGCTTGTCATTGAGCACACTGTGGGGTGACCGCTGGCTGTGCTGTGGGTTCCACACTGCAAGGCGCAGCCCAGACGTACCTTCTGCCTCTTTGTCACACCCTGGGCACTCCGTCGTGCCCGCTAAGTGAGTCGTTAGGGAAGCAGAGACATGACGGACCCCTTGGCCTCCCCACGGTCCGCGCCCTCCCCTCCCCTGCTCAAGGGGCTGGAGAAAGCCAAGACTTGGCAGTGAGGCCACTAGAAGTTCGGGCCGTCCCACCTGACAGGGACACTTAATGGTCTCTACTTTCTGTCTCGTCAGCTCCTGCAAACTTTTCTGACCTCCCGCAAATGTCTCCTCCTCTCTTCATCTCAGAAGAGAACCTCCCCTCTTCCTCGGTCCTCAGGCAGGGGCCCTTGGCCACCCTTCCACTCTGCCTCAATACGTCATCGTATGCCGTCCTCCCAGTCGTCACAGGCCTCTGTCCCAGGGGAGGGAGCACCTCTGTTGCCCAGATCAGGACGGCAGTACGAGCCCCGGGCAGTCTGCTCGGTCAGACCTCTCCGCGGAGCCGCGTGGGCCGGCGTCCTCCGCGCCCCCTTCCCTGCCGTGTACTCCGCACCAGGAATGCTGTCGCCAACCTCCACCCTCCTCTCTGCTGGAGAGAACAGCTGCTCTCCAGGGCCGCCTTTAGGGGACCCTGCCCTAGCCGCCCCCCCAAGCCCTCCGTTACTCCTTAGGTGCGAAACAGGGCCACACTCACTCCCTGTGGCTTCTCACTGCCCGCGCCTTCTTGCTTTTTTGTATAAACTTCCATTTTACCTGCTAAGGCTTTTTAACCAATTCGAATCCTGGAACTCCTCCCACCGAAGACGATTACCTTTCTCTAGGTGCAGCTGGCACCGAGGTCCAAAGCTAGCACCTGCCCGCCCCCACCCCCGCTCAGAGGCTCTGCAGGGACCTGTGCTGACCATATGCCACTGACCCGGGTGCCTCCAAGCCCCGGTGCTGGCTCCTGGCCCCCCACTCCTGACGCCCTCTGCTCCTGGCCCCTGCTCCCAGCCGCTCCCCCTTCCCGGCCCTCGCTCCCTCCCCACTCCCGGGCCCTGCTCCCAGACCCCCCACCTCCAGGGTGCCCTTCTCAGTGGGCACCGGTCTTTTTTAAATTGAGCTGTAACACACACCATGCAACCACGCTTGTGAAGTGTGCAGCTCAGTGGTTTTTAGCACATTCACAAGGTCTTACAGCCATCACCACCGTCTAATTCTAGAACATTTCCATCACCCCAAAGAGAAGCCCCCATACTCATTAACCATTGCTCCCCGTTCTCTCCCCCATGGAAGCAGCTAATCCACTTTCTGTCTCTGTGGCCTTGTCTGTTCTGGACATTTCATGTTAGTGGAGTGAGACAGGGTGTGGCCTTCTGCGTCTGACTTCTTTCCCCAAAAACGTTTTAAAGGGCCAGCCGCGCTGCTGCGTGGGTCGGCACTTCACTCCTTTCTATGGCAGAATAATATCCTGTTACGTGGAGTAGTGTATTCTGTAATTTCGGTGTGAAAAGAAATAATATCCCACTTGTTTACCCATTCGTCAGTTGACGGATATTTGGGTGGTTTCCACCTTTTGGCTATTCTGAGTAATACCGCTGTGAACATTTAGGCACAAGTTTGTGTGTGGACGTGTTTCCATTTCACCCGGGTATAGACCTAAGAGTAGAATTGCTGGGTCATATAGTAATTCTACGTTTAATCTTTTTTATTGTGGTAAAATAGCATAACATAAAATGTACCATCTGAACCACTTAAAAATGTGTAATACAGTGGCAACTATATTTGACTTTTTGAGGCACTGCCGAGCTGGTTTCCCAAATAGCCACCAGTTCACACTAAGTGGCGCGTGGGTTCCAGTCCTTGCACATTCTCGCCGATACTTCTCATTACCTGTCTTCTCGATCCCAGCCGTCCTGGCGGGTATGAAGTGGTGCATCGTTCTGGTTCTGATGTGCGTTTCCCCAGTGACCCCCGATGCTGAGCATCTCACCACGTGGTCTTTATCTTTGCCTCTCTTCCCCCTCTACACCTGTGCACCCCGGGCCGTCCTGCTCACCTCAGCTTCCTCTGTGCTTCCTCCCAGGACACGTCCCTTCTGCTGTTCCGCTTCCCCTCCAGTCAGGACACTCGGTGAGACAGGATTCCTAAGGCACGTGTTAGGCTTCATAACAGCCCCGCCACCCTCCAGAGGTTTGGGAAGGGTGAGAAGATGGTTCCGGCTTAGACCAGAAGAATATTTTGCTTATTTGGTTCACTCTTGAGCTTTCTTGCATTCTTAGTGCTTTGATGGAACATTTGATGGATATTCTTTGTAGTGCATGAAAGAATCTATCTGTGGTGCACGGTGAGTGTTTGAGTGTCGATCACCAAAACATGTCTTTTGTTCAGTGGGCCCAAGCTACTCTGGCTGTTGCTAACCAAGTATTATAGCAAAATATTTTTGTCAAAGTAGCAGGCAATGGATGCAGCTAAAGCAGTGCCAAGAGGGAAATGAATAGTACTAAATGCTCACGTTAGAAATGAGGAAAGATTTCAAATCAATAGTCTAAGTTTCTACCTCAAGAAACTTGAAAAAGATGAGTAAGATAAACCCAAAGCAAGCAGAAGGAAGGAAATAATAGAAGAGCAAACATCGGTGAAATTAAAATAGGAAAACAATAATCAACGAAACAAAAGCTATTTCTTTGAAAAATCAGTAAAATTGATGAACTCTAGCAAAAATAGAGAACTCTGACAAAAACGAAGAAGACACAGATCATCAGTCTCCAGAATGGAACAGAGGATATTAGTACCAACCCTGCAGACATCAAAAGGACAACAGGGGAAAACTATGAACAATTTTATGCTCAAAAATTTAGAAGAAATGGACCAATTTCTTAAAAACTACAAACTACCAAACCCCAACTAAGATGAAATAGATAACTTTAATGGTGCTGTTAGAACTACTGAAGAAATTGAATTTGTCACTTAAAAGCTCCTGATAAAGAAGGCCCCCGAATATTTTACCCAACATTTAAGGAAGAATTAACACCAGTTGAAACGAGGTTCCGGTCAGGGTGGTGGAGAAGGTAAATGCTGTGCTCGCCTCCTCCTGTGCCCACATTAAAATCACACTTGAATTACAGAACAGTCAACCTGCAGAACCATCTGAAGCCCGGCCGAGGAGCAGCCCTATAACTAAGGCCGTAAAGAAGTCACATTGAGACTGGTTCTGAATTCCCAGAATGCGTAAAACAGTAGGAAAAGCATTTACCTCAGTGTCCGACACATGGTAAGAGACCAATAAATGTTTTAACATTTAAAAGAATTAACGTCCACGGTATATAACTTCTAGCTGAAAGT